GCTGAGGGCATTTAATTGTGTCAGTGGCCAAGTGCAACCCAGAGAGTGCTGCCAGCCCAATCTGGCAAATGCAGGAATAAATTGGAGGGATGGAAAGAGGACCTGAGTTGCCTTCCTGGAGGTGTTCCTGTCTCTGGACTGCACAGGGCGAGTAATTTTCCCTATTTCTGGACATTCTGCCATCTGCTCCAAACACCTGCACTGCTCTGGAGTTTCTGCCTTTTGGCAGTGGCTCTTCCATGCTGTGCTTAAGGATGGCTCCTTGGCAGCTGCACCTCTGCAAAGTGTCCAAATCCCAATTAAACCATCGCCCTGCACTCAGCAGCAAAGGTCCTGAGCTCCTGGCGATGCAGTCCTTGGAGCCACCTGGCTCAGGGCTGCAGGAATTGCCCGAGCTGCTCTGCCTCCCTGGCACCCTGCACACCTGGGGCTCAGAGCTGCTGGTTCCTTGCACTGGGCTACCTGTGAGGCACAAAGCCTCGCCACAATTTGGGGGCTGGGATTTTTTATTGTCTTATCCATGCATAGACTCCTTTTCTGCCTTGTGAGAGGCACACGTGTGATCACCAGGGCGTTTTTAACAGCAAAGAGGGGCCGTCCTGCAGCCAGAATAACTTCTTTTGGATCCTTCTATCCCCTGCTCTGTCCCCAACAGCAGCGTGAGGGCCTTCCTGGTGTCAGCTGGTGAGAAACGTGCCGCCATCCGACAGTCCCTGTGACTGCTCCTTTCTTGTTGCTTCTCCATGAGATCAGCTGTGTCTGCGTGGTGTTTAAAAAATGCAGGTTTTGTCATGGTAACAAGGCAGTGCAGAGGAGGGAAGCCGGGCACAGATAAGCGCCCTCCCTTCTGCTCTCCCCTCAGCTGAGTTTATCTGCAGTTTCCTGGCAGGGTGGTGAGTGCTGGCACTGGGGTGCTGCGCTGAGAGACAAGAAAAAAAGTGTGCAAGAAGGATGTTCAGGCAGGGCCTTTAAACGTGTGTTGTGTAACCATCTGAGAGAGGGAGCAGGAAGAGAGGAAAAGATGGGGGTGAAGGGGCAAAGGCAGCACAAGGAGAGCCCTGGACTCTCCTGCATGAGCTGATGGGAAGGTGCCCTAGGAAACATAAATCATTGTTGTGCATGTTGTGATGTTTTCTGTCCCAGGATCCTGCAGCACTTCCCAAAGGTGTAGTTCCTGTCCCGGTGAGAGGCAGACATCCAGAAGCCATTTTATGTTCATGGAAACATCCAAGAGGGTTACAGTATTAGGGCTGTGCTTCCATTGCAGGGTGACCCTCAATCAGTGCTTTAATCCTTGTCCATGCACAAATCCAGCCCCAAATCCAGCAGAGATGGAGCTGTTCCTCAATCAGGGAGCGTGTGCTCGTGCAAGGCTCTGTGTTGTCACATCTCATCCCCATATTGAGCTGATGCTTTCCTTCTTTACCTGCTGCATTCCCTTCTCTGTGGCGTGCCAGGGCCCCTCGTGTGACTCTGGGGCCGGTGGGGAGCACCCACCAGGTCCCAGCATCGTTCCAGCCCCCCATGAGCCGGGCAGGGTGTCAGCTCCAGCGGGGACCGGCTCCAGCCTGGCCAGACTCTAGATGGGGCTGCAGAGTTGGAGATCGTGCCCTGCGCGCCGTGCCCGGCCTGCCCTGGCTTTTCCTCGGGCACCAGGACCATTCCTGGACGGAAAACCAAACCCTCGGCTGCGCTCCCACCCGGAGATCCCGGGAGAGAGGAGAGAGGAGAGAGGAGAGATCCTCTCCGTGCGCTGGGGTCCCGGAGGGGTCTGGGGGTGCTGCGGTCCCCACGTGGAGGCAGCGAGGGACAGGCGAGGGCATCGCGTGCGCTGCCACGGGAGGGAGGTTTGCTTTGCAGGGATCCGCATCCCGTGGGCGAGGGCTGAGTCACGGCCGAGGGGTGTGTGCCGACAGGAGGAGGAGGAGGAGGAGGATGCCAGGCAAAGAGAGGGGCCCAGCCAAGGCTCCAGCCCCATCAAGAGCCTCCCCACCTCTAAAGTCACTGTGGGGACACCAGAGCCGTGTCACCGGTTAACTCCGGCTGTGATGTTCCTCCCTTCCTCCTTTTCCTCTCCCTGTGCAGCATTTGCTGTGATTCACGTTCGCCCGTGGCAGCAAATGAAACAAACCACAACCCCCTTCCCCTGGAGAGGGAGAGACAATTCCAGCCCGGCCTTGGAAACTGCTAAAGCAGTGCCAGGCTTCAGCCCGGCTCATTTTAAACGTCTGCGATCAGCTGAGTTCAGCGCAGCAGGTCCTGCCCGGCGTGGCTGGGAGCAACACAAAAGTCCTCAAAACTTCGGCGGCCAAATGCTGAGTAACGTTTTTAATGCTTGTTTTGTCTGATCCCTGGCCCGTGCCGGGGCTGCAGGGCTCTGGTGCTCTGCAAACGTGACAGCCATCATGAAAAGGGAAGTTTCTAAAACTGTGTTAACCCTTTTGGGGGGGGGGCACAGATTGCTTTCTCCTCCTTTTCACATCATCTCGGGGCGCTGCTGATGGTGATAACCACCCTGGAAATTTTTAATTCCCAGTTTCCATACTTTCACCCCTGCGGGTGCTGCCGATGGAGCGAGTCCCTGTGCCGTTCCTGCCCGTGCAGGTGGAATTTATCACTGGGTTTCGGATCCCAGTCCCAGTAGGAACTGGTGGAAAACTGGCGCTCGCCTGGTTAATGAGCGCAGCGGAGAGGGAGGATTGCTCACCCTGTCGTTGCACAAGCTGAACCCGAGCCAGTTCTCGATTTCTTAGAACTAAGTGAAGTGATGTCCCAGACATCACCAGTGTGTGTCAGGAGCCCAGATCCAGTTGTGGCCTGTTCTGAGCCCTGGGAATGAACCTTGGGAACGGAAGGATTTGGGTCAATGTGTGGCGCGGCCCTCGGCTGTCCCCTGCGGGCACTGGAACGGGAGGAGCTGTAGCTCCCAGTGAGGAATCCCCCAGTGGCTGTGACCCCGGGAGAGGGGCATTCTGTCAGGATTGGAGCTGCAAGGGGAGTTTCAGAGGAGAGGATGGGGATTTGGGAGGGGCAAGGATGGGAATTTTGGGGTGCAGGGATAGGAGCGGGAGTGGGATTTTGAGGGGCAAAGATAGCTGAGTTTTGGGGGATAAGGATGGAGCTGGAGGGGAAATTTGGGGGGTAAGGATGGAAGTTAGAGGATGGTTTAGGAGTTAAGGATGGGGATTTTGGGGGGCAAGGATGGGAGCTGGAAGGGGATTTTGAGAGTCAAGGATAGGAGCTGAAAGGGAATTTTGGGGGCAAGGATAGAGTTGGAGGGGAAATTTGGAGAGGAAGGATGAACACTAGAGAGGGGTTTGGGGAGCTGCAGTGAGTCTTGGGGAGCACTGAGCGACCCGGCAGCAGACAGGGTGTCACCCCATGTGCTCCGGCACCCGAGCCCGCCGTGATGCCCCGGCGCAGCACCGGCATGAGCTGGGGAGCCCCGCTGGGACTGGACACGCACCCCACGGTCCAACCCCTCCCCGGGGAGCGCTCGTCACCCCCGGTCCGTGCGGAGGGGCCGATCCGCACATGCTCCCTGCCTTGTTTTGCAGAGCCCGGCGGGGCCGCCCCGTCCCGTCCCGTCCCGCCCCGCCGGGGCCGCCCCCGGCCGCGCCGGGCGCTTAAAGCCGGGCTGAGCCGCGCCGGGCCGGGCTGAGCCGCATCGCGCCGGTCGGGGCTGGGCTGCGCCATGATTTTCGATCGCCTCAAACGCTTCTCGATCGTGCTGGAGGGCGCGGAGCGGGATGGTCCGGCCGCTTTCAGCCCCGGGCAGGCGGTGTCGGGCCGCGTGGTGCTGGAGCTGGCGGCGGCGGCGCGGCTCGGGGCGCTGCGGCTGCGGGCGATGGGCGCTGCCCGCGTCCACTGGACCGAGTCCCGCAGCGCCGGCTCCAGCACCGCCTACACGCAGAGCTACAGCGACCAGGTGGAGTTTTTGAACCACCGCGACACGCTGATGGTACCCCCAGGTACGGCATCCCCCACCCAGGGGTGCGCGCCCCACGGCCGGCGGCGAGAGAGGGGGCGTGGGGGGCACCGGACACTGCAGGGGCTGAAACAGCGGGGGAGTGGGGCGGTCTGGACACCCCAAACTGGCTGAAATCTGGGTGCCTGGGGCAATTGTCGGTGCTGGGTGCATGGCACCCCAAAACTGCAGAAATCTGTGTGCCAGCGACAGCCTGGCTTCTGGGTGCATGAAATCAGTCAGCTGAAATCTGGGTGCCTTAGGGTCGGGGTGCTCTGGAGGCGGGTGTGCAGATCTCTGCAGACACCTCAGACTCTGGGTGCACCCCGAAATCTTGGGGTGCACAGCTGGACTCTGCTGCTGTGCAGGGCACCCCGGTTAGGGGCTGCTCCCCACAAGACTCCCCTTTCCTGTGAGCTTTTCCTGGCAGGGAAGCAGTGTTGGAAAACTGGAGGTTCAGGAGCTTGTTTTGAGCAGGGGGTTTGGCCTCAATGATCCCCAGAGGTGCCAACTCTCGAGGGCTGTGGGGGCTTGGCTGGCCACTCTCTGTCCAGTGGGCATCTTGGGCTCTCAGTCCAAAGCTGTGGAGCAGAGGATGAAGCAGAGCCCACCTGGCAGAGCTGCCCGGCTCTCCAGGGAGCTGCCCCCGGGTCGTGCGTGTCTGGAGACACTCGGAATGCAGACAGTGCCCAGCTCTGGTGTCACAGCTGCTGCAGCTCAGCCCTGGCAGGAGCTCTGCCGTGCCCTGGTGCTGCACATCCCTGCGGCTCGGCCCGGCAGGAAGTTCTGCGGGAGGGAGCTGATCCTCCTCAATCTGTTTTGCCCACAGACAACGGTGAAGCCACTGTCCTGCAGGCAGGAAGGCACGAGTTCCCCTTCACCTTCCAGCTCCCCGAGTAAGTTGGCTTTTTTGGGGGGCGGGGAGGGCATCTTAAAATGAGGTGGTTTTTTTTGAGCAAAACCTTTCTAAAAATGGTTTGTTGCTCATGCCCAGGACCTTGGCCACTTCCTTCGAGGGGAAGCACGGCAGTGTTCGCTACTGGGTGAAGGCCAAGCTGCACAGACCATGGTCCACAGTGAAGAAAGCAAAGAAGGAGTTCACTGTGATCGAACCCATCGACATAAACACCCCTGCACTGCTGGTGAGCTCCCCTTGCTCCACCCCGGGGCTCTGGCATCCAAAATTTAGCTGGGAAGCCCCTGGGGAAGGTGTCTGCCTCCCCTTCAGCATTACAGAGCAGGCCTGGTTTCCAGAGGGAATATTTTCCCCCATCGCCTCGTGCCCTCCGGCATTCCCCAGGCTGGGCAGAGGTCAGCTGTGCCTCGTTGTTTTTGGAAACTTTAATGCATTGCAACAACTTCTTGCATCAGATACCTGAGAAGTTGCTGATGCTCCCCGGCAGGTTCTTGGTGCCAGGGAGATGATTGCTCTGAGTTTCATCCCCGGTTACTAAACAGCTGAAATATTTCCCTTTCTCCAGGCTCCCCAGGCAGGCGCTAAGGAGAAACTTGCTCGTGCGTGGTACTGCAACCGTGGCCAGGTGTCTGTGACTGCCAAGATCGACCGAAAAGGCTACACCCCAGGTGAGCCTGGGTGCTGGTGCCTGTGAACCTTGGTGGGCCCTGGGGCACAGCCCAGAGGAGGGGATTTTGGGGTCACTGTGAGCTGCTGTGAAATCAGAGAGCTTTGGTGCGTGTGTTTAATGTGGGCAGCGCCCTTGGGACGCTCCTCCTGGATGAACCCACTGTGGCCAACCCTCGGTGGTCCTGGGCAGGAATCCCTTGAGGCAGGGCTGGGCTCTGCCTCCCCTCCTCCCAACTCGTGTGTGTCTGGTTGGGCAGGTGAGGTCATCCCTATCTTCGCTGAGATCGACAACTGCACGAGCCGCGCCGTGGTGCCCAAGGCAGCCATAATCCAGACCCAGACCTTCGTGGCCAGGGGCACCAAGAAGCAGAAGAAGTCGGTGGTGACCAGCATCACTGGGGATGCCATTCCAGCCGGGAAGAGGGAGGTGTGGCACGGGCGGGCGCTGAAGATCCCGCCCGTGGGGCCATCCATCCTCCAGTGCCGCATCATCCAGGTGGAATACTCCCTGAAGGTGAGGGAGCTCCCGGGGATAAAATTCCCTCCTGGCCAGCTCAGGGGAGGTGCCTGCCCCTCCAGACTGGGAAAACAGCACCAGCTGAGCTTCCCTGCTGCATCCTGTCTCTGCAGGTTTGTGTGGATATTCCTGGGACGTCCAAGCTGCTCCTTGAGCTGCCTCTTGTCATCGGGACCATCCCTCTGCATCCCTTTGGGAGCCGCACCTCCAGTGTCAGCAGCCAGTACAGCGTCAACCTGGACTGGCTGAGCCCCATCCCGGAGCAGCCAGAGGGTGAGCATCCCCTTTTCCCTGGAATAACCCCCCTGGTCAGGACAGCAAGGCTCAAAGTTCTCAGCTGAACCAGTTTTGCTTTTTTTTCAACTTAATATTTTGGTTGTGCTGCTGAATCTCCTGAGTTCCAAACCTCGGGAAAGTGGGTTTGAAGTCTTTTCACCTGTGCATCCTCCATTTATGGAGAGGGTTCTCTGTCTCCTGATGGCTCTCCTCTCTCTTCAGCCCCCCCTGAGTACTCAGCAGTTGTGTCCAGCCCCGAGGCTGAGCAGAGCCTGGCTCCACCGTGCCGCAGCGAGCTCGGGGACATCCTGGAGGGTCCCTTCTTTGCCTACATCCAGGAATTCCGCTTCCGACCACCTCCACTGTATTCAGAGGTACCTGAACCGGGCTGGGAGGCTGCTGGAGGTGGCTGGGACATGGCT